AATGCTCCCTCTCCTCAGATGACGCTGCACGCCTCTAATGGAGCTCCAACAGGCAACCATAAAGGATTTACAAAGGCCAGACCAAAAAGTCACAATGCACAGTCAATGTGTAATAAGCTCAGCTACATATCAGAGAGAGAGAATAAAAAACAGCATAATTAATCTAAATATACAACGTAAAAGCAGAAAGCTAATTGTCAGCCACAGCACCAGCCACTCAAACAAGTGTATAAAGAAAGTTTGTGTTAATCATGAAATTACCTGCATTTGCATGTAAATGTGTCCGTCTACTATCCTAGCACATTGCTTGTACTCGTAGCTGTGAATACAGACATGCTATGTGAAATGACGTCAGCACTTGTTGTGGGTGTGTAGTTCCAATTGAGTGATTCCAATTAAAATATTGTTGAAAGGAATTTACTACCATTGCAAATGTTTCCATGTTGTGGACAGCCACTGTAAACATTTAGTCATGCAGCGGGAACCTCAAAACTATGTTCTGATCAATCATGACATCATTATACACAAACATACTGCTACACAAGGGCGTTTCTTTGTGTTGGATATTGCCTGGGGGGGGGGGGGGGGGGGGGGGGGGTCCTATCTTTGGTGTCCAGCTTTTCCTGGTGGATATGACAGACGACAACATGGTTCAATCTGCTTTGTGTCATTGTTGAGCACAGCCACGTCTTCACAACCAAATGACATCAGAATGTAGGCAACAGCATTTGTTATATCACTTGGAATACCGTCAGAAAAGATGAGGAGTTGAACCGATAGTTCCAATCTGTGTGCAATGTAAATTGCTGTGCAACATGCTTTACCAGACTACCTTATAACTCAAATTCAAAATGTTCACCTGATGACCTGTTCATTCTCTCCCTGTGCCTCAACATGGGCTGTGCTCTCCCTCTCTCTACTGACTGTCTCTGACCCCTGCCATGACAACCAAATGAATTCAGAATGCAGAGAACAACGGTGTTGTTATAGCAATTGGGCTACAATCAGCAAAGATGAGGAGTTAAACTGATAGTGCCTTCTAACTCAAATTCTCACCTGATGACCTGTTCATCCTCAACATGGACGGTGCTCTCTCTCTCTCACTCTCTCTATTGCCTGTCTTTGAACACTGCTATAATCATATGACCAAGTACCATTATCATTTACAAAAATAGCTGGCCTTAACAATGATGGGGTTAGCTTATTAACATGAATTAGATAATGCTTTTATTAGCTACATTATTTATTTACTGTCTGGCAATAGGTATAGATCGCTAGCTGACTACATACTGCCAGCCTATTATTAATTGTACAGTGTAGTCCCTTCCCCCACAAGTTACGCACCTGCTGCTGTGGAGTAAATTTTGCAAAACGTTTGTTTAAAATAAAAGCAGAGAAATTTGTTGGAATGAGAGGGATGTGCTTTGGTTAAAAAATATATTACTTTATCTATGACTTTTCTCCCCTGATAAACTCCTCTGAAATCTGTATTTGGGGGGAAGGAAGGGCGAATCTCTTTTTACTTTCCGCCGTGTTTGATGTCTAAAATCTTTTGCTGGGTTTAAACATCTGTTTCCAAACAGCCAGCAGCCACTAATTAGAGCTTTTAACAAGACTGAACGTCGTGAGAACCAGAGGGTGGGCATGAGGCGACATGTATAACCCACTTTTTTTATGGGAGGGGTTGGGGGAGGTGGTGGAGGGTACGAGGTATTATTTGAGACCTCACCTGTCAGTGTTATCGTTTTGATTTGGGGGGCTTTCTGCTCTCTTTGAAGTAATCAAGGTGCTGCCCTGGCTGCGTTCTTCTAACGATGCACCACTCCCTGAGACATACTGTATCTCTGATATCTCTGTACACTGCTTTAGTATATTACATTCACACCTTCAATTGTTTTCTTCTCCCAGCGTAGAACTCATTAAAGCATTGATATATGAGGAGTGCTAAGAGAACTGCACTCCACACGCCCAGAGCATTGTGCAACCTGATCTGAGAAACGATTAGCAGATGCACAGACTCTGCAGCTTTTAACACAACTCTGGTCATATGTGTCAAAACACAGCTCAGATACTGTACATTGAGTTCATTGAAACTGTTCACAATAAACTAAATTCCAGCTAGATGTAATAGAGCTATACTGAAATACATTTGAAGATACAGCTCCTTTTAATTACACAGTGCAACTGTTGATTGACGTTCTGGTGAATCTACTTGTAATGGAAGTTTTTGTTTCAACTCATGTATGTTAATAGTGCCGGTTTTCTTGGCTCTCCTTGTGATCCAAGAAGCTGTCTCCAAAAGCGGTTTTGACAGTTTCAAAGCATTTCCCAGTAGCAGCAGGTAAGTTTCTAACACAATCAGCTACTGTTGGCAAATAGGCCTCTTGGCAAAAACAGAGCTTCAATGTGCCCAAACTATGAATCTTCCCTGCAACTTCTCACCCTGAGTGTCAAATATATCAAAAGTTAGTAGCTAGCTATGACTCTCTATCTTCCCTATGTTGATATATTTTTGTCATAACACTGCAAAACCAAAGGGTGTAACATTGATCATATATCTTCGATCTTGGGATCCAACTAAGAACAGTAGCCTCGTAATATGTAAACATAGAAACTCTGAAATTCTTAAGAAGAGGATTCAATTCACTGTTGATTTGGAAATTATATTACTTCAAAGTTTTGTACATCTGATTGTACAGTATAGAACTGGCCTCTTGAACTTGTCCAAGAAGCAAATGGTGTCATGGCTCATTGTGTCTCTGCTATGGACAAACTCATGGGTCACTGTGTAGGGCCGAGCATGGATTATCATACTGCACATGAGAAGCAGGACTATCATCAGAGGCTCTCTATCTATCTTTCTCTCCCCGCTTGGCTAAGTAACTCCACATTTGTGTTTTGTCTGAATAATCAAGGAAACCAGAAGTAAACTGATGGAAAGATACAAGAGCAAATTACTGCGGAGGAAGCGCAGGACAATGAGCAATTTACTGCTCCTTTTGTGTATGGCAACAGTGCTGCCTGGGAGCAATCAAAACTTATCGCTGTCATTTAAATATCAGTGTCCAGTGCATCAACAGTAACAACAGGTAGTAGAAGTAGCAGTATTAGTAGTATTAGTAGTTGTAGTAGCATAGTAGTAGCAGTAGTAGTAGTAGTAGTAGTAGTAGTAGTAGTTGTTGTTGTTGTAATAGTGTAGAAGGAGTAGGAGTAGTAGTAATTGTAGTATATCAACATTTCTATTATAAACTCTTTACTGTGTGGGTACTTTCTCTTCTCTGTTTATTTCATAAAACATACTGAACTAACACATAAACCAATCCCCTGCTACTGCTACTCTTCCTGTCATCTCTGGAGCAACACAAATCTGACACAAATCATCCACTTAGTCCAACACCAGAGTAATAATACCATTGCCAATACCAAGCATCTGTCCATGAAATCAACTCCATTGGCTGGGAAAATACCCATGGAATACCAAACGAATATTATTCAATTGATCACATATGGTATCATAACATCAACCAAAGAAAACTAGCGTTAAGTATAGCCAGGCCACTGCTATATGGCCATCATAAACAAGCGTCTTTATTAGCCACATGCTACACTGGGAAAGCCCCTAGTAGGAAGTCGATTAAATTGAGCATGCATAAATTGCAAGATCCAAGTTGCTTGAACAGGAGTTATGGCAAAGACATCCACAACAAGCATAAGGAGGCATCTTGCTTTGAAATGTAAGAATGACAGGAAAATGTATGTATGCATGAAGGTGAGGTGTGGCGACGACACTGAATTTGCCAATAAATGTCAGCTATGACATTTATTTCATATCAATCCTTTATTAATTTCCTATATCGTTATCTTAAAAACCATACTATGACTATGAGCACGTTGAAACATATACGCAGCTGCGTCCTTGGGTGTTATTGTAACAGCCTGATTACAAACATTACTAAGAATAAAGTGGGAGAGGAGGCCTGACTCAAAGACACCACACTCGCAAAGCTATTGCATCATGTGGAGAAATAATCATCTGTATTGATAGGTCAACTACTGACTTCTGGGCCAATAAAATCAGACCCTGTGTCTCAGAATGACGTGATTGTTAGGATTCAAGTCATAATCATCTCATTCTTTACCTGCTTTCATGGTTAATGTTCCTTTGTAGTGCTGCCCAGACCCTGAAGTGACTCTTATCAACAGTATGCAAGGTTTCCTCTGTGTTGTTTTAGGAACACTGCATTATCTCACCAACCCCCATTCTGTCACACCTCTGGGTAGCAGAGGTTCTGTTGCCTTGACATCTTGTAGGTCTGACGTCTGATTGGACGTTAACTCAACAGTAATGCTATTGGTCAACAACTCAGATTTTGAACGCAAAGAAGTCAGATGCTGATAAAAGGGTCTTAGCTTTCTCTCCTTTGGTCCTGACCTGCGCTAGTGAGATACACTCTCTCTCTTTCTCCCTATCTCTCTCCACCTCGGGGACTCTGTGGCATGGCCTTTCAGGCTATGACTTCTCTCTCTCCTTCTCTGATCATGCCTAGAATAACGTCTTGTAATGCTTGTTGATGCTTTGCAACTTAAGCTTATGCCTTCATTCATTTTACAATGTCATTCAATCTATTTCCTTTGATAGACAGCTCTTATTCCTTTCTTAATGCTTTATTCCTGTAACTCAACTATAGTATCTTGCATATTGCTGAATCATTGTTATGGAGTCATAAACAATAGGCTTTGTTAACATACAAATTGCATAGTCTTATTACGGGTCGCATGTAAAGTATTTATAATATCCATATACATTAAATATTACCCCACTACATCTTTTCCATTCAAAACTCCTCAGTGATTTAAGAATACGTCCCAAATGACAATCCATTCCCTATAGTGCACTACTTTTTACCATAGCCCTATGAGCCCCCACACACTAAGTATTTTCTATAGAGAAGAGAGAGTTGTACTGTAAACCCCTCTGCACAGTCATATCCCCTACCACCCACCACCCCCAAACAGCCCTCGTCAGTAGCTGAAACGCCTCCTCTCACCTGCCTGCCAACTCTGTTGTTGTGGAGCCTCATCCTGGCATGGATGTCCTTGTATGTCTCGCGCGAGTCCAGGAAGTCCCTGGAGAACTTCTCCCCAAAGTCCACGTCGGGGCTGCAGCCTCCCCACTCCCAGGAGTCCTGAGGCCCGGGCAGGTCTGCAGGGAAGTGCTCCATGACTCCGTGCACCATGCCCTTCCCCCGGTGGATGGCCTCCAGCTGCAACCGGTTCAGTTTGATGCGGAAAGCCTCCTCGTCGCCTCTCCGCCTCTCGTCGCAGCCGCACGCCTTCAGCTTCCCCATGGAGCAGGCATTGGACACGGCGTGGACCACGCCCGCCGCCGCGATGGCGTACGCAAAGGCACTCTCTCGGAAACCTGCAAGGGACGAAGAGAAAGAAAAGATTGACGACAGAGATCCTATCCTGTTATACTCCTTTTGATTCCTACTGCACATCCAGTACAGTGCAGTAGATAGGTATCTGTGGAGCTATAGAGAAGTCCAATGAGCCCTGATGGGTTGTTGAGATACACTGCAGTACCGGTATAAACCCCCACCCTACCTCACAACACAACAGAGGCAGAAACATCTGGGACAATAGGAATTAAGCCCAAACACTTGCATGTCTCCAGGCCCAGGGGTTGAAAGTGAAGAAACCCCCACCATCCTTTCAACATTAAGGATCTGACAGTGATCATGAACAGGGCTGGAAGTGGCCGGTGGGGGTGCAGCAGACGTGAGCACCGTATTGTTAATCCCCTTTAAAGCTCTCCCTTTATTGAGCTCTCCAGCATGTTTACAATTAACCTGGCTACTGTTGGAAACCGTTTGATCTGCCTGCCAAATCCCACACAGCAGCCGCATGGCGTCTCAGCCCTAATCAGGCCAGTATGGGCTGCTCTGTCATGTTATGGGTGACGCAGCAAGACAGAAGAAAAAGCAATAGCAGAAAGTTACCAGTACTAGGGTTTCAAATCCTGGTTAGAGGATTTCGGATTTCCTGCTTATTGCTTTCTAATTCCAGGAATCTTCCAACAGGGATTTCTGGAAAACCTGGACATTTTGGGAAAGTTACCATGAATTTTGCAACGCCCACATTAATACATATTATTCTACACATCTTTCAAAGAAGGTACGGCGATTCTGAGGGCCTTCCTCGAGTTGTTCGTGCAGAATCCTAACATTGTTACAGCAACTTAATGGGCATAGAGTTTCTCTGTCCAGTACTGCCCATTTCAATAGTTACAGGGTAACATACAGAGCATATTCACCACAGGTGTCTGTCTATATTGTACTCTCCTTAGTGGTGATCAGAGCTAATAGCCTGTAACCATGACTCCCCGAGTTCCTGTAAAACCAGCCCTTCTCAGAATCACTTACTAAAGAGAAAAAATAGTGTTATAAAAAGAAACATGTTTAGAACATGTTCAGGACTTTAAAGGGGAAATCTGCAGTTGCTACATCCATTTTTGGGCTTATAAATTAATGATATGTACTCATTGATTCTTGATGTGATGAGGTGGTGTTGAAGAAGTCAGGCGCAGGAGGGTAAATCACAGAATAACAGGCTTTAAACTGCAAAATACAGGTTTACGCAGAAATGCGTCAAACGCACTCCAGGGCACAAAACAGGCGCACTGGAAAATAAAAGGCACACGGGAAATACTCCCGTCGATACACAATACACGAGCTCCACCGAGCTTCACTAACCTCCACAATAAACAATCACCCACACAGAGAAGGAAGCAGAGGGAACACTTATACCATGACTAATGAGGGAATAAGGACCAGGTGTGTGTGATTGAAGACAAGACAAATGGAGTGATGATAAATGGATCGGCAGTAGCTAGTAAGCCGGTGACGCCGAACGCCGAAACCTGCCCGAACAAGGAGGGGAAGCAGCCTCGGCGGAAGTCGTGACACTTGAATATAACTTATTAATGCCTCATGAGCTTAGTTCAACTGTCATAAATGTAAACAAACACTATATCAAAACATGGTTAAAACTATAATTGTGATCTCATGGATGGGCAGTCCTTGCATCCATAGCTCTGCCTATGAATTTGTGTGGTTGCATTTCTCCAGCTCCAACCCTCAGCTTTTTACCGAAACAGGGGTGGGGAGTGCGATTTGTGATTGTTTCAACTCCTGATTGCCACTTTAAAGCTTACATTTTGAGGAAAATCGTATTACTACAAACAGCCCTATTTGTCACTAATGTAGAGATGCTCAGTGTTACTTCGTTTGTGTTATTACAACTTGTGATATTTGTAACAATGACTTTCTTACTTTTGGTTGACAAAAAGTAGACATGATCAAGCCAGAATTCGATTGATCATATTTTAATAATTTAAAAACTCCCAATTGTAACTGTTATTATTAAATCTGTATAGGTATACAGTATCAATTACAAATTACATTTGGAGTTAAAGAAAGTGCCCAAGTTTGAACAAGTCCTAAACTGTGACCCCAGTTCAATGGTGCTTGTAAAGAAAAGCCTTAAAGAAAAGCACCCCAACGGTTTAGAGGATAGATAAGATATAGTCGATGATATTCCATTGATCATCCCCTATTCACTCACTCATACACACACACGTACACACACGTACGCACAGACACACACACTCACACAGAGTAGTTTTTCTGCCTCTCCAACTTCCCATGATTCCATGGGGGACGGAGGACGGCACTTAGATGCAGCCCAGAGACACAGACATGAAAATGCTGTTTTAGATTTCCTCCCAAGCAGGCTGAGGCGAGAGACCTGGAACAAATCAATCTAACAAATAATTTAAAGTGAGAGGCACGCCCGGCTGAACTGATGGCTGAGGAAGTGGGAAAATGAATTAAAGATTAAAGAAAACTGTCACTTTGTGTTACAGAAACCAACTAAACAGGTTTATGTATTACCACTGAGAGTTGGGAAAGTGCTGAGAGCAAATTCACAGCACTTGCACTGGCAGAGAGTAAAAGCATTAGCCGGGCCCCGAGAAGGCTCACTTTATGTGTCTCACTGGCTTTTTTGCCTAGTTTTAATTCAGGCTAACGTAGAAATATGGCCCCATAAAGTATGTCAGAATAAATCAACAAGCAGATACATGTTTGAGGTAAAGAGGATATGACATCCGTTTCCTGTAGTAAAATTAGATATCCAAACAAACAATTAGATAGGGCATGCATAATATACTGCATATGCAAAACCCACTCATAAAAGCTTCTAAACAAAAACATGCATCTGCACGTTTCGCTACTGTAGTTCCTACTGTATGTTTGTTGGTACCCAGTTCAAATAAAATGTAGTATAAGAAAATATATTTCATATAAACGCAACTACAGTTGAAGTCAGAAGTTTACACACACCTTAGCCAAATTCATGTAAACTCAGTTTTTCACAATTCCTGACATTTAATCCTAGTAAAAATTCCCTATCTTAGGTCAGTTAGGATCACCACTTTATTTTAAGAATGTGAAATGTTAGAATAATAGTAGAGAGAATGATTTATTTCAGCTTTTATTTCTTTCATCACATTCCCAGTGGGTCAGAAGTTTACATACACTCAATTAGTATTTGGTAGCATTGCCTTTAACATGTTTAACTTGGGTCAAACGTTTCAGATAGCCTTCCACAAGCTTCCCACAATAATTTGGGTGAATTTTGGCCGATTCCTCCTGACAGAGCTGGTGTAACTGAGTCAGGTTTGTAGCCCTCCTTGTTCGCACACACTTTTTCAGTTCTGCCCACACATTTTCTATAGGATTGAGGTCAGGGCTTTGTGATGGCCACTCCAATACCTTGACGTTGTTGTCCTTAAGCCATTTTGCCACAACTTTGGAAGTATGCTTGGGGTCATTGTCCATTTGGAAGACCCATTTGCAACCAAGATTTAACATCCTGACTGATGTCTTGAGATGTTGGTTCAATTTATCCACATAATTGTCCTTCCTCATGATGCCATCTATTTTGTGAAGTGCACCAGTCCCTCCTGCAGCAAAGCACCCCCACAGCATGATGCTGCCACCGCCGTGCTTCACGGTTGGGATGGTGTTCTTCTGCTTGCAAGACTTCCCCTTTTTCCTCCAAACATAACAATGGTCATTATGGCCAAACAGTTCTATTTTTGTTTCATCAGACCAGATTACATTTCTCCAAAAAGTACGATCTTTGTCCCCATGTGCAGTTGCAAACCGTAGTGGCTTTTTTATGGCGGTTTTGGAGCAGTGGCTTCTTCCTTGCTGAGCGGCCTTTCAGGTTACGTCGATATAGGACTCGTTTTACTGTAATATAGATACTTTTGTACCTGTTTCCGCCAGCATCTTCACAAGGTCCTTTGCTGTTGTTCTGGGATTGATTCGCACTTTTCGCACCAAAGTACGTTCATCTCTAGGAGACAGAACGCGTCTCCTTCCTGAGCGGTATGACGGCTGCGTGGTCCCATGGTGTTTATACTTGCGTACTATTGTTTGTACAGATGAACGTAGTACCTTCAGGCGTTTGGAAATTGCTCCCAAGGATGAACCAGACTTGTGGAGGTCTACAATTATTTTTCTGAGGTCTTGGCTGATTTCTTTTGATTTTCCCATGATGTCAAGCAAAGAGGCACTGAGTTTGAAGGTAGGCCTTGAAATACATCCACAGGTACACCTCCAATTGACTCAAATTATGTCAATTAGCCTACCAGAAGCTTCTAAAGCCATTACATCATTTTCTGGAATTTTCCAAGCTGTTTAAAGGCACAGTCAACTTAGTGTATGTAAACTTCTGACCCACTGGAATTGTGATACAGTGAATTATAAGTGAAATAATCTGTCTGTAAACAATGACATGCGTCATGCACAAAGTAGATGTCCTAACCGACTTGCCAAAACTATAGTTTGTTAACAAGAAATTTGTGGAGTGGTTGAAAAACGAGTTTTAATGACTCCAACCTAAGTGTATGTAAACTTCCGACTTCAACTGTATGTAACAAAATATTCGTTCAAAGTATGCATTTCTTAGCGGATTAATCACCTCATTTAAAAGCGGTTGTTTATATAAATTATTTAGAGTTTCTATGCCTCAGGCAAAACATACCCATCCATAACCAAATGCCAGAAAACCAACAACTCCTTCAATAATAATGACAAACAGTCAGTGTGTAAAGTGAATGAGTAAAGGGGGACAAGTCCCAAATGGTACCCTATTCCCTTTATAGTGCAATACGTTTTACAAGTAGGGCACTATAGGGAATAGGGTGCCATTTGGGATGCAGGCGTGGTAATCAGAAGCACCTTTTTTAACTCAGGAGGTGTCCCTACCCCATACTGTCTGTTAGGTGACTCACCTCGTTTGAAAACCACACTATCGTATGGGATCTTGTTCCTGGTCTCCAGGCTGGAGCAATTCCACCTGTGTCCTCTGAACTGGTGCTGGCACTCATGGATGGCGATCTGGATCCCTTGGATGGCTGAGGCAGTGACGTCGGGGTTTCTCATGCACACTTCTAGTTGTCTGTGGTTCAGTCCAGGCAGGGTCAAGCACACAGTGTTAGCGTTGAGAATGGGGTCGATATTAGGGATCTTCAGCCCTAGAATCTTGTTGGAATCTACCCTGGAACACAGAAGGTTTGATGTTAAGGTGTGCCTGTACTGTAGCACATGATTGATACTTCTGTGGCATGTAAATCATTTGTAACAACCATCATTTACATGACAGGAGTCAGGTGTTTTACAGTATTACACTTCTGAGAGTTTATGGTTGTAAATTGTTTCTGACAGTATTGACTCATGAAGTAGATGAAGGTCTAAAAGTGGTACATTGTACATTGTGGAAATGAAAAATCCAGTTTTAATGATTTTTTTGTTATGCATTCTAAAATATATTGCCTCCTGCACACACACACACACACACACACACACACACACACACACACAAACACACACACAGACACACACCAGTAAATCTCATGAAGTTCATCCATTTAAATGCAATTTGTGCAATCATTCATATTTGCAGAGTTGTTACTGTAATCACAGTATTGATCAAAGAAACATGTTGGCATTGGTAAAATAACAGATTGCATTTCTATAACTCATTTGACCATGTCTCAAATAACTCTGCGACATCAAACTTAAAATCTCGTAATCTGATATTGAATGAAGGGGCATGTCACAAGAGAGGATGGACACCATGTTAACAAGAATGAAAAATAAACACTCAGTCCAAAAGTGTGGGATAACTTTTTAGAGTCATTGAAAAATTCTAAGAGCAAATTCACGTTACTTTGATTCTGAGTAGAAAAGTACTTGGGAACATTGGGAACATTTATGTAAATACAGCATCCTGATCATTAAAACAGTTATGCAGAAGTAAACATTTATTAACCCTTTAAATCAACTTTGGGTTATTACAGTAGCCTAAAAAGGATACCTACACTGACCAAGTATGGAACAAAGACTGTTTATTTGCTTACATCTCCTAAACATCTCCATGTGCATTACATTATCATGCAAAGAGTCTGATATGTATGATAGTAAAGTTAGTCATCATGTCAATAATATTATACTTATTAAGTTATGACAAACTCATATACTGCTAGATGAACATGATTTGTGAAGTTAAAGTTGTTCTGAGTTATTTATTGTACAGTACTAATTGCACAATATGATTTGCGAACAAGAGCAATGCCTACAATGAACCTAACTTAGTGATTGTGCCAACATAGACTAGAGGGTCAACTGTAGCTAGGTGCTGCAACATGTAAATAAAATCACAGCCGACTATAATGTAGCAACTGTAGGCTGTAATACATGTGGTACAAACTTTAGATAAACACTGGCACAATTCATTATTTTATTAACTTATGAGTATATCTTGAAGATGAATAACTACACCAGTATAAGTAAAATACTACAATTCAAAGAAATCTTCAGGTAAAATATTAAATTAAGTAAATGAAACTTCTCAACTCACCTTTGATTGAACAGAGCGATTGCCATCACAATACATATTAGGCGGCAGAATGAGAAATCCATTGTATCGCTTGTTTTTGACAAAATATAAGAAATGACATAGAGCGTGTAAAACAAGTTATATCTCTCTATAATATCTGTCAGATTTTTGCAAAGAAAATGTTTGTCCACTCCAGAGTTCCCGGGGGACGCGCTTTGAGGATGACAGGTCTTGAGTTCAAGTGTGGATCTGATTTGAGAACTGATAAAAGACAAAGTGCTGGATGTACCTAACGACTGCAGGACAAGTCATTCAAAGAACGACAGAGTTTGACTGCACTATCTGTCAACTTATTGAATGAAGATAATGTTGGAAGAGAGACGACTAAACACTCTTGCATGCTATCTCACATCTGCGCAATTGTACGACAGCTCCGCCAAGATATTTGCATTGGAATACATCCGAAAGCCGTGGGTGTACTAACAGCGCACTATCTTGAGTCTCGTTGACTTGTGATGATTTGCTTATACTGATAGCATTCTAAACTACACCACTTAGCACTTTGCCAGCCCACTTCTACGTCACTCAGAGTAACTAATAGCGGCAGAAGAGGACAACCCACCGACTGGGCACACACCGGTTGAATCAATGTTGTTTCCACATCATTTCAACAAAATTACGTTGAACCAACGTCGAATAGATGTTGAATCGATGTCTGTCCCAAGTTTGCACTGGGCATAAACTGGTTGAATCAACATTGTTTCAACTTAATTTGTCAATGTATTGTGACATGAAAAATTAATTGGATTTGCAAAACGTAATGAATTGAAACTGTTGTTTTGAGGGTGACATTTCAACCACAGGATTATGTCATCGTGGTAACTAATTTTCAACACAGACAAACCTTGTATAAAATATGTTGAATTTGTAAATTTGAAACAATGGCAGACCTTGAACATTATATCCACTATCAGAAAAAAAACTATAGGCTGGGCAGCACCTCCTACTGGAGAGTTGATCTGACATGCTGGCCAGACCACACGTGTGTCCACCTGTGCCATCGCGCGCATGTTGATTTTGTCCACACACACCAGACACGATCAGGACACGCAGGTTGAAACATCAAAACGAACTCTGATTCAACTATATTAACTTTGGGACAGGTCAAAAACCATTAAACATGTATGGCAATTTAGCTAGCTTGCTGTTGCTAGCTAATTTGTCCTGGGATATAAACATTGGGTTGATATTTTACCTGAAATGCACAAGGTCCTCTACTCCAACAATTCATCGATAGATTTAAGGGTAAACCGAGTGAGTTTCTAGTTCTCTCCTCCTTCAGGCTTCTTCTTCTTCTTTGGACTTTATATGGCGTTTGGCAACCAACTTTAAGGTGCATTACCACCACCAACTGGATTGGAGTGTGGAACTCAGTTCGTCTTTTGACCACCCACGTGGGTATATGCTCCTAAAAAAAAAATCAGGAGATGGGAGAGGCGGGACTTGCAGCGCGTCAAGTGTCACAAATAGAACCAAGTTCTATTACAGCACCTGGCCACGCAGACGCTCGTTGATGCACGCGAGCAGTGTGGATGCCATGACTGAATAACATGTGTGTGTAAATTTATTTTGCAACGCTCGCACAATGCTCGTGCACGCGACGCGTGCGGTGTGGTCAGCATGGAAGACCTTATAAGTCATATATCATCAATGATACTAAACTCAGCAAAAAAAGAAACGTCCTCTCACTGTCAACTGCGTTTATTTTCAGCAAACCTAACGTGTAAATATTTGTATGAACATAACAAGATTCAACAACTGAGACATAAACTGTGACTTTCAGAAATTGAATAATGTGTGCCTGAACAAAGGGGGGTCAAAATCAAAAGTAACAGTCAATATCTGATGCATTAAGTACTGTAGTGCATCTCCTCCTCATGTACTGCACCAGATTTGCCAGTTCTTGCTGTGAGATGTTACCCCACTCTTCCACCAAGGCACCTGCAAGTTCCCGGACATTTCTGGGGGTTTGGTCCTAGCCCTCACCCTCTGATCCAACAGGTCCCAGACGTGCTCAATGGGATTGAGATCCGGACTCTTCGCTGGCCATGGCAGAACACTGACATTCCTGTCTTGCAGGAAATCACGCACAGAACGAGCAGTATGGCTGGTGACATTGTCATGCTGGAGGGTCATGTCAGGATGAGCCTGCAGGAAGGGTACCACATGAGGGAGGAGGATGTCTTCCCTGTAACGCACAGCGTTGAGATTGCCTGCAATGACAACAAGCTCAGTCCGATGATGCTGTGACACACCGCCCCAGACCATGACGGACCCTCCACCTCCAAACCGATCCCGCTCCAGAGTACAGGCCTCGGCGTAACGCTCATTCCTTCGACGATAAACGTGAATCTGACCATCACCCCTGGTGAGACAAAACCGCGACTCGTCAGTGAAGAGCACTTTTTGCCAGTCCTGTATGGTCCAGTGACTGTGGGTTTGTGTTTGTGCCCATAGGCGACGTTGTTGCCGGTGATGTCTGGTGAGGACCTGCCTTACAACAGACCTACAAGCGCTCAGTCCAGCCTCTCTCAGCCTATTGCGGACAGTCTGAGCACTGATGGAGGGATTGTGTGTTCCTGGTGTAACTCGGGCAGCTGTTGTTGCCATCCTGTACCTGTCCCACAGGTGTGATGTTCAGATGTACCGATCCTGTGCAGGTGTTGTTACACGTGGTCTGCCACTGCGATGACGATCAGTTGTCCGTCCTGTCTTCCTGTAGCGCTGTCTTAGGCGTCTCACAGTACGGACAATGCAATTTATTGCCCTGGCCACATCTGCAGTCCTCATCCCTCCTTGCAGCATGCCTAAGGCACGTTCGCGAAGATGACCCTGGGCATCTTTCTTTTGGTGTTTTTCATAGTCAGTAGAAAGGCCTCTTTAGTGTCCTAAGTTTTCATAACTGTGACCTTAATTGTCTACCGTCTGTAAGCTGTTAGTGTCTTAACGACTGTTCCACAGGTGCATGTTCATTAATTGTTTATGGTTCATTGAACAAGCATGGGAAACAGTGTTTACACCCTTTACAATGAAGATCTGTGAAGTTATTTGGATTTTTACAAATTATCTTTGAAAGACAGGGTCCTGAAAAAGGGACGTTTCTTTTTTTGCTGAGTTTATTTAGGCCTATATTCATGGGTTTCACAGCAAACCTTGCTAGCTAATGACAACATTGCCATCTGTCTAAAGTACATTTGAAAAAAAATCCAGAAAATCACATCGTAGGATTTTTTATGAATTTATTTGCAAATTATGGTGGAAAATAAGTATTTGGTCACCTACAAACAAGCAAGATTTCTGGCTCTCACAGACCTGTAACTTCTTCTTTAAGAGGCTCCTCTGTCCTCCACTCGTTACCTGTATTAATGGCACCTGTTTGAACTTGTTATCAGTATAAAATACACCTGTCCACAACCTCAAACAGTCACACTCCAAACTCCACTATGGCTAAGACCAAAGAGCTGTAAAGGACACCAGAAACAAAATTGTAGACCTGCACCAGGCTGGGAAGACTGAATCTGCAATAGGTAAGCAGCTTGGTTTGAAGAAATCAACTGTGGGAGCAATTATTAGGAAATGGAAGACATACAAGACCACTGATAATCTCCCTCGATCTGGGGCTCCACGCAAGATCTCACCCCGTGGGGTCAAAATTATCACAAGAACGGTGAGTAAAAATCCCAGAACCACACGGGGGGACCTAGTGAATGACCTGCAGAGAGCTGGGACCAAAATAACAAAGCCTACCATCAGTAACACACTACGCCGCCAGGGACTCAAATCCTGCAGTGCCAGACGTGTCCCCCTGCTTAAGCCAGTACATGTCCAGGCCCGTCTGAAGTTTGCTAGAGTGCATTTGGATGATCCAGAAGAGGATTGGGAGATTTCATATGGTCAGATGAAACCAAAATATAACTTTTTGGTCAAAACTCAACTCGTCATGTTTGGAGGACAAATAATGCTGAGTTGCATCCAAAGAACACCATACCTACTGTGAAGCATGGGGGTGGAAACATCATGCTTTGGGGCGGTTTTTCTGCAAATGGACCAGGACGACTGATCCGTGTAAAGGAAAGAATGAATGGGGCCATGTATCGTGAGATTTTGAGTGAAAACCTCCTTCCATCAGCAAGGGCATTGAAGATGAAACGTGGCTGGGTCTTTCAGCATGACAATGATCCCAAACACACCGCCCGGGCAACGAAGGAGTGGCCAGTCTCCAGATCTCAACCCCATAGAAAATCTTTGGAGGGAGTTGAAAGTCCGTGTTGCCCAGCGACAGCCCCAAAACATCACTGCTCTAGAGGAGATCTGCATGGAGGAATGGGCCAAAATACCAGCAACAGTGTGTGAAAACCTTGTGAAGACTTACAGAAAACGTTTGACCTGTGTCATTGCCAACAAAGGGTATATAACAAAGTATTGAGAAACTTTTGTTATTGACCAAAGACTTATTTTCCACCATAATTTGCAAATAAATTCATTAAAAATCCTACAATGTGATTTTCTGGATTTTTTTTCCTCATTTTGTCTGTCATAGTTGACGTGTACCTATGATGAAAATTACAGGCCTCTCTCATCTTTTTCAGTGGGAGAACTTGCACAATTGGTGGCTGACTAAATACTTTTTTTCCCTACTGTATGTGCCTACTTTCGCAATGTCATCGTATTCCCAAGGCCATATAGTGTAATTTAGAAGACACAGTCATTAGCCCCCATTCTACTTTTGAGCATCAATATGCTTGCGGAATCCGTAGAACGTTGATAACAATGGCAACTACGCAACCGAGTGACGGAGGTGCAACCCATGAATAGCATTTGTGACTAAATCAAATCAAACGTTATTAAAGTGCATTTAAAGTTTGATTTAATTTGATTTGGTCCTATTCTTTAACATTTGGTTGAGATGAATTGAACATATTAATTGTTAATTTGTAGACAAACTGGATATTGAATTGTGAATTGTGTCAAAATACAAAGTTGTTCAAAGCCACATGATATTACTCATCTTGGGCTTTTACGATAACCTTTAGCCACCAGTGCATTCTGGCAATGTGAAATCACAACATGAGTTCATATGGTCTGAACTAGGGGGGCACTACATGACTCAGGGTAGATATATTGTATGGCAAAGGTCCCACTGTCTACTTCATACTACTGCAGTTAACCACCACTGTGAGCCATTACAACTGAATCACTA